TTTTGTTTACAAGCAGATACCCTGTTCTTTCTTTTGATGTTTGTATGTTCAGATATTCATATAACAAAATACATACAAATTAATACCTAAATAAGGACATAGTAGTATACTTAAAGTATGATGTAAAGTTCACTTAAAGAAAACTTATTTATAAGTTAAACTTAGTATACTACGAGTATATTTGCAGTAAAAAACTACTAAACTAGAAGTTTACTGAGACTATACTTCAAAGTGTACTAAAAATGCTACAAGCATTTAATTAGTAAACTATCAGTATACCTATAAGTTCACTTTTAGTATAGTTGCAGTACAAACTAAAAACATATATGTAAACTAGTTGTGTACTCAAAGTTTACTACTGTTATACTTAAAATATACTTAAATGTATACATTTATATACTAGAAAGTGGGCCAATTTAGTCCCAAGGAGTATTGAAATAGTACACTTACTAGTATACTAGGTTTTATTATACTACTAGTACACTGATATTTGTAAACTTACTACATAAAGCATACTTAAAATATACTTGAACTTTACTTAAGTTTACTTAATAAAATAAACTTAAAATATACTTCTTTTTGGTAAGGGTATAGACAAACTTTAACAAGTGACATGATTTATAGCATTCCCATCTTATTTCAGATGATTATTTGCTTTACAGAAATCTCAATAGCTTTACAGATGCTGTAACCACAATGTCAGTCATATGTCAGCGTCTTTCCAATAAAGAGCATATTAATTTCAGCGTGATACATATGATGTAATGTGAAACCTGTCCCTCCATTATCAAAGTGCTGTCATGAACAGAGGAAAGAGATCATATTAGCTCAACCTGTATGTGTTCATATATAAAGCAGCCTGGGGCGAAGTCTTTAACCCGTCAGTCCTGATTGGACTGAGAAAACAACCACTTTGACACCTGGGAAATCAGATCCAACAGCAGTATCATGAGAGCCTCTTTCCGTGAGGGATCTGGTTCAAACATGTTAGTGCACTTCAAGATCTATATAGCCCTCCAATAGCAATCTCACTTCCCTCAATGCTCATGATATCATCCATTGTGCAGGAGATGCTCTAGTTTAAGAGACATTTATCAAAGCACACAGGGGATTCCTTTTTTCAGTTAAGTGTCAGTGTTAAGGACTTCACATTCAAAATGTCAGATTTACAATAGCACCCAAACGAGTGCAGTAAAAGTGAGCAAAACAGTGAATTTGACATGTTTTTGTGCCTGGATTTTGTCAGACGTTTATTAATGACTATCTAAGTGATATTTGCATCCAGACATCAGGCTAATGGCCAGGTGTAATTGCAGCCTGTCACCTGGCCCGTTCTCTATAATATGGTAATGTTAGAAGCACTAGAACAGTTTGTAGTGTTCAAGCCACACAGGAAGACTGTGATTGTGGGGAAATAATAACACAAGAGGTTTAAATTGCACATTATCACAGCCAAGGTATGCAGAGAGCTTGTTTCAGCATGAAGGGGGCGGTAAATCTGTGTTACATTGCCCCTTCAATCTGTACACTAAGTACAGAGGAGAGCACATGCACTAAAGCTGCTTTTATTACCACCTAAGGACCAGAGCCTCAAGGTGACAGTATTCATTGCATTTAATGTGTTCATTAGACGTCATATGTGTATCTGAAATACAACTGGATTCACATCTCCCCGTGAGAATTGATTCAGTGAATCAGGACAATGCTGATTCACACTAATGTCAACAGAAAAACACAAAGTCCCAAATCCTTCTCTAGTGTCTATCCTGAGCTTTGAAGTAAAGGCAGCAGAGAGAAAAAAGTATAAATCCATAAATGGATTTATAGGGATAATTTACTCAGAAATTAAAATTGTGCCATCATTTACTCTCATGTTATTCCAAACCTGTATGAGTTTCTTTTTTTGTTCTGTTGAACATAAAAGACGACATTTTGAAGAATATGAGTAAAAAAAAATTATATGGAAATCAATGGCTACCAGCAACAGTTTGGTTACCAACATTCTTCAAAATATCTTCTTTTGTGTTCACGAGAAGAAAGAAATGCACACAGGTTTGCAAAAACTTGAGGGTCAGTAAATCATCTTCATTTTTGGGTGAACTATCCCTTTAAGAGCGCTAAAAAAGGCAAACATCTACTATTACATGATGATATTAGTGAAATACAATATCGTCCAAAGTTTGGGGTTAGTACATTTTTTATTTACTAATGTGTGTGCGCTAAACTAATAATTTTATTCAGAAAGGAGGCATCTAATTAATTAAAAGTTAAGACATTCAAAATGATACAAAAAAATATATATTTCAAATAAATGCTGTTTTTTTAACTGCACCACCTTGATAATAATAAATGTTTCTTAAGCATCAAATCACCATATTAGAATGATTTCTAAAGGATCATGTGACACTGAAGACTGAAGTATGATGCTGAAAATTCAGCTTTACCATATTTTAAAATATTCTTATATTACATTTGATAATATAATTAATAATTTTAATATTAATTAATTAATATAATAATAGAAAGCATTTTTAAATTCTAATATTATTTCATAGTATTGTTTTTACTGTATTCTTACTGTATCTTTTGGTGAGCTTAAAAAACATCTTTCAAAAACATTATCGTATGACCCCAAACATTTGAATGGTATATCCTTTTCTGAATCTGTGCATTTACTAAAACAATGCCTAAATGTAAATTTGGTTAACTCTGCTCAATACATTTAAAAAGGTAAACATAAAAACTCTTCTTTCATAGGTTAAAAAAGCCCCTGGAAATCTATTGCCCCTAAATTGAAAAGTTAATTTCTGACCTGGTAGTCATGCATTGATTTATAATATCAATATGAAAATGAATTAGACCTAAGAAAAGTGACCTAAGAAATTACCTAAATTACCTAAGAAATGTGACCTTAGAAAAAGTGAATTAATATTTAGAGAACCATATCACCCTCTAGTGGCTGCAATAAATCCACCCTGCAAATATCCACAGAGATTTTCACAAGTCTTCACAGCAAGCATGATCCATTTGATTAGTTTTATATGGTAATGTACAAATTTATGAACATGACAACACTCATTACAGTAAACTGAACTGACCTTTAACAGATATATCTTTACACCAAATCTGCTTCTTTTAGGCACTTGACACAATTTACACAATTATTGGTTAATAATAATCTAGGACCAACAAAGAATTACCACATGTGTAAATTATGAGGTGCACCTTTAAATTGCCTTTTAATTTTCCTTTCATCTCCACTTAACTACATACTGAAAACGCCCATAATTATCAGCCATTGGAAAAACCCCATTAGTCATCCATCTTAACCAGTGCCAATCATCTTCCACACTTACCCGCTGGTCAGCTCATCAGAGCGGGCGTTCTTAGCCAACACGTCTCCATCACTCATGTAGCCGCTCATTTCCAGCCCCACACCTGCCAGCTCCAGATCCTCCACCCTGTCTCCCAACTCCAGGCCACAGAAGGCGCTGCCACGCGCTGCCAGCTGCTTCCGTAAAGGAGCCTGGTACAGATAACGGCCCTGGCCGGACGCCACACCTCCGCTGCGGGACTGATACCCGTTACCAACCGAGGGAGCATCTCCTGCTTGTAGACGGGGGCTGGACTGGCCTATGCGACTGGCCCAGGACAGCGGCGCGGGGCGAGATGCCATGCTGAGGATGCTGCGACTGCTCATTTCAGTAGTAACGCTACCATCAAAAGTGGTCTCCAGTGTGCTGAGAGACAAAGAACATTTAAAATTCACACAAATTCATATATTGACACATTAAAAGTCAATATAAAATCAAATTCATATGACCTTTTAAAGCTAAAATGTACCATGGTATCAATAGTTATACCATGGTACATATCTATAGTTTCTTCAAAAATACCATGTTATTAGTTGTTTTTATTACAGTAGTGGCTTGTACCAAGTTTGACCAACATTTCTAGGCTGTTGTAGTATAGTTAATTCCAGGAAACCACAGTTACTATGGTATTTTTCACCAAATAGAATTCAATTACAATATTTACTTAACTTATAATATGAGGAAAGGTTTTATGCATAGTACTGAGGAATTGTAACCAATATCCTGAAACCTCAGGAAACAAAAATGCCTTGCTGCTCTCATTTTGCTCTAAAATTGACTTTTTAAGCAGTTCACAATTACAGCATGATGCCATCATAGCAATGCAGTCTGGGTCAATCAGATGAATAATCAAAAAAGAGGAACAAAGAAGGTTTTAAGAATAGAGATGGAAAGAGCATGGTAGAGCTGGTGGACAGACTCTATTCAATTAGTCATTTACAGTTAAAAGAGTCAAGCTGAGGAAGGAATGGCAACTTGTTATTGTCTCAAAAGATAAAATACTGTGAGAAAAAAGTGTCCTTTTATGGCAGCCTGTGTCTTTGCCAGTTGAATTGGGGAATAATCTGCTTTTTCCCTCACTGTTAAAGCTTCACTGTTCACCAAAGAACCATCTTCTTATCTTAGCCACTTTCTGAAAGTTCTCCTGCTACATCAGACTGTGAAAAGTAAGAAATAGATGCATCTACCTGTGTGTGATTTGCGTCCCCCGCAAACTTGACATGGTCTCTTCTAAATTCTGCCGCAGGTCAGCAATATTTTTGACAGTCCTTAGACGTCTGGTCTCTGGATCTTCACCTGAAAATAGGGCATGAATTTTCACATATATCGGTATTTAAACACTGTTCAACAGTTTGGGTAAGATTTGTTTTTCAAATAAATGCTCTTCTTTTGAATTTTCTGTTCATCAAACAATGCTAACTATTGTTTTCAACACTGACTGCCAATAATAAATGTTTCTTGAGCAACAAATCAGCATATTAAAATGATTTCTGAAGCATCATGTGGCAATATGGTGGTGCATAATGGTGCATTGATTATTATAATTACTAAAAGGAAAAGGTCTTAGAATATCAGATGTTTTAAACTTCATCAGATATGAAATGAACAGGTTACCTGACAGGTCCTCAGTAGAAGACTGGTCGATCTTACTGAAGCTACTGGAGTCACTACTACGACATCCACAGCTTGGGATTGTGCCAATGTTTCCATCTGCCTCATTCTGAGACCTAAAAACACAGGGGTTAAAATTTAAAAAGATGTCATTCATGTACATGCATACACATTTTCTGTGACATTCTAGTCAGCAGAAGTCATGGCCTGACTAAAGGAATCCTTTATGGAAAACAAACACAGGGCAACAGGTCTGTTTCAGAGGAAATACCAGTTAAACGCTTCACAGCTGAGCCTGACGGGGAGTCATACACATGTGAGCACGCATGCACACTTACTACAGCCGTTCACAATGAGTTTTACAGTGGCAGTCTCATAAATCAAATACAAATGTTTTGGCATGAATCCATTTTATTTATCTGTCTATCTGCTATGTGCTACATGCATGCATTAAGATTTCACTAGAGTTTTTTTCAGTACAAATCAATATCATCTTGTGTTATGTTGTTAGTAAGATGCTCTTTAGCATGTTTGTAGCATGATGGTACAGTATGTGATTGTGTTTTGGTTTTGGGTGGTTGTCAGGAGGTTGCTATTCTGCTACTAAGGTCTTGTGAGAGATTTTAAGCAAATTGTACTATACATTTATTAATATTTAGAATTTGATTGTTATATCTTCAGTATTCATTTCCATTTTAGTTTGTTTTAGCAATTTTTCACTTTATTAGCTTTTTTATTTCAGTTTTAATTCTAGTATTTTGTAGTTTTAGTACTTCAAATTAAACTTATTTTAGTTAGTTGCCAAGGTAACATTTCTAACTTTCTTTTTTTCTTCATTTTTTTGGACTGCATTTGTGAGAAAAGAAAATTTAAGCCATTGTTTTTTTTTTTTTTTTTGGAGTATCAATTTTAGTTAACAGCAAAATACAGATGAAATCACACCTATTTCAAACCACATATCACAGGATTTGAATTAAAATTCAGACTTTGAAAAATCAGAAATGTGTTTCGGTTTGAATAGTCCAGTGTTAGTTTATTATTACAGATATACTGTTATTATTTTTATTAACATTTTGATTTAGTGTTTATTTTTGTTTTTAACATGAGTTTATTTTTATTAGTTTTATTTCTATTTTTATATATTTTATATTTTATTTTAATATTTATTTTTATTTCAGTTTTATTTTTAGTAACTTAGGCACTTCAGCTTATTTTATTTCAGTTTGTTGCCAAAGCAACATACCTAATTTTTTTAAGTTTAATTTTTTCCGTCTAATATTTATAATTAGTATTATTTCAGCTTTATTTCAATTAACAAAAACCTTTTTTAATAGTCTAGTTTCAGTTAACAAAAAAACAAAAACAAAACTACTACTTACTGGTCTAAAGTCAAAAGACCCCCCCATAATCTCTAGATCTGGCTCGAGTTTCTCCTTTGATCTAAATCTATGTATTTTGGGCTGTTTTATCATCCTCCAGATGAAAATCCCAGGACGAGTCTCACCTGTACATGAAGGGTGCTACGGTGGCTGTGTTGGGGTGGCTGTACTGCTGCTGTGGCTGAGGCAGCTGCACACTGACTGTGTTGCTGGCCGTGGATTGTGTTCCGTTGGCCACCGGGGCGGCGCTGTGGTGTCCTTTCCCCTCGGTGGAAGCCAGGCTGGAAGAGGACGAGGAATGTCGGCTGTCCCTATGAAGTCCCAGACCCCCTCCCAGACGCATACTGCGGGGCCTCTCATTGTCTTTACCACTGAGGGCCAACGCTGAACTTTTTACCGCTCCATTTCCAGTGTTTTTACTTCCTGGTTTTGGAATTCCGCTTTGCACAGGGGCGGGGCTATCTTTCTTGGTACCGCCCACTTTGCCGCCTTTGGGTATGAAGCTGGCGATCTTGGAGGCTTTCCTGGGCTCTGCCTCAGAGGGAGCAACTCTGCTTGAGGGAACAACTTCCTCCCTAACTTCCTCTTTGATCTCTACCTTTTCGGAAGAAGGGACACACTTTGACCCCTCTTTCCCATTTTTGTCTTTTTCTTTAGCTCGTTCTTTTTCTTTTTCTTTATCTATGGCTTTAGTTGAGGCTTTTTTTCCTGTGAGCGCCCGGCTAAATGTCCGTTGCGCAATGCCCTTTAGCGCAATCTTTGGGCTGCTGGTTGTCATCATAACGGCACTCGATCCGTTCGTGGGCCTGACATTCCCATCCATTTCCTCAGTGGGTTTTGTATTGGAACCAGCCTCGACTCTTTCTAAAACCAAACCGCCATCTTTTCCTCCTGTCGGCGTAACGGCGCTCTCTGCTTGCGTGGATGACTTGGAGCCTCCTTTGCTGTTGAAAAGTTTGAGTTTCTCCAGCATGGACTTTTGAGGCACAGCTTTCGGTGGCGGCTCTGCAGGCACGGGCTCCTTGGCTTGGAGATCTGGTTTGATGGAAAGCACCGTGGAGGTAGCGGTGGAGGTAGCAGTGTGCTTGGTGCTCTGAGATTTGCTTCTCCAGGGTTTGCTACTCAAGTTGGGCTGGGGGATGGCTGATGATGAAGATGAAGATGCCACAGTGCTGGTGCTAACAGAGGTGCAGGCGGACGCCAGGGATGACAGAGTGTGCTCAGTCACGCCGTGTGAGGAGACACTCTCTGATGATTCTGGTGAGGAAATGACATGAGGTGACAGTGAAACACAGCAAAATCAGAGAGACAGGATAAAACAGTCATGGAGAAAGTTGGACTGCATATGTGAGAGAAGAGCAGTTCATACTCACATTCATATTTGTATCATGAAATCTGAATTTGAATTAAATCAGATTTTGAATCCTCTTAAAACCAGAAAAGTTGGTCCAATGTTATTTTAGTGTATACACTATTCTAGGATTTGTTCATATTTTGAATTAACATTTCTTTTCTTTCTATTTTTTATCATTTATTTAACCAGGAAGGTCCCAATGAAATACAATAAGAGTCCTGGTCAAGATGGGCAAAAAAAACATAATATATGAAATACATGAAAACCACACGGCAACTGAACACTATATATATATATATATATATAAACATCGTTCTATAAAAATTGACAGGTCAAGAAATGGTTCGGATTCCATGTTTAGTATTTTAGTTTGTTTCGGGTTTTTTATGTGCTTTTTTTCATTTTAAATGTTCTTTTTAACATTCTATTTAAGTTCCATTTATTTTTATTTCAGTTTTAGTAATCTTACTACTTAAACGTAAGTTACATTTACATCTATGCATTTTTGCAGACACACCGCATCGATATGTGTTTGAAATCCAATCAAAATCTAATTTTTGCAAATGAGTCAAAGTCTGATCAGATTTCATGTGGTTTTTCATAATTATGGAACACATAACATCATATATGAGAAAGTTTCTTGGCACTGCTCTGACACATACATCATTACTATAGCAACAGATACAACAACAACACTGATGAACAGTCAGTCCAAAAGATCAGATCTGAAAACCAAATAGATGTTGTGGAAAAAATAACCTGGGAAGCATGGAAATAAAGTCAAAATTAAAGCAAACTTAATCAAAGGCTACGGAAAACAGGAGAAAAGTTTTGAAAGTTTAACCGGAGATGAATATTGAAACTGTTCTCCCTGGCCATAAAAGGCTAGCTACTCCTAAGCTAATGTTATTCTAATAGTAAGCAGCAGACAGCCGACTGAGATCCATTCTAAACTGTTTACACTAACACAGCGAGTAAGACTTTAATGCCCATTCAAACACTGGAGGCCAAATTTAGCTTTTGTGCTCTGTGTGACATACACAATCAAAACTTCCTTTAAATAACTGACATGAAATATAACCCATACCAAAACCGAAATGTTAAATAATGCATGAAAATCTATAATTAGCCAGTGTTAATTGATGAAATAAACAGACATGCATTCTAGCACAACAGAGTTATAAAAACGTCCTTGAAAACAAACTGTTAAATCAGCCAAACCTTGCAGAATGACATGTATTGCTCATATGAAATAGTCTAAAAATGTAAATTATAATCATGGAAAATGTTCCTCTTCACTGTAGTAAAAAAATCTGTTTATAAAAAGCAAAGAAAAACATAAAAATTAAAATGAAATCAGCATGCTATCTGTATCTCATTCACCTGGCAGGTCCATTTGTTAAAGTGCGCTGGTTTCACCGTCAGTCCAGCCTGTAGTGTCTCAGTAGTCGAGGAGCTACACTGCAAATAAAACACTAACTGCAAACAGTTCTCGCACAGAAACCCCGCTGTCCTTCTGTCCAGCCTCCTCCCTCTGAGCCTCTAGATCACTCTCAACACACTCGCTCTGCCAGCCGGCCGGTGGTCCAGACCCAGAAAAAAAGACTGAAGTGCCCAAAAACTCTAAACACAACTCTAAATCATCTGAGCATATAGGCCTACTAATGCTGCACATTACAAATGAGATCAAAAACTATAGGTTTATCCCACTGAGTGCCTAGTTGGAGTGCTGGATATTTCTCACAGATACTTTATGTGCCGTTTATTCAGATATATATATAATTTTAAACAGACGGAAATATTATTTGACATAATATTAGCTACAAACTTCTGGTAAGCACATGTTAAGACTGAATGTAAAGGTTTTGACTAAAAATCCACTGATTACACTCAAATGTTTTATAATTTTTCAGGTTCAGCGTTTATCTGTATATTTTATTAAACGATCTGACATGGGGAGAAAAACACTGTTCCCATCTCATTCCGTTTGGCATTTAATGAGCGGCACAGAAACAAAGCGGCAATTAGGAAGTGATTAAGGTCCAATTAGCCATGCAAGCCAAAGAGAAGTGGGTCAGACCACTAATGACTTCCAATAGGTAGAGAGAGGAAAGAGAGGGGCCGAGAAGGGGATAGGTCGGAAAAAATACCTCGGTTATAGAACTGAAAGTTGAGAGAGAGAAAAAGTTGAGCAGTTACTGTCCAGAAACAGACCATATGACAATGAACTGCAAAACTTTGGTCAGAAATAATCTTGCTGTCACCCTCATATCATTAGGAAACTCTAGAGCAACTTTCTGCCCTCAGGGTTTGTGGCCCCTCTCAGTTCCTCTTAACGTCCATATTTAAGTGATTATTTCTCCACGGCAGAATAAAAGCTATCATTAGTCTCAGATGACCACCCTACGAGAGCCCACCAATAAACACATCATGCCTGTTTCATATTGCACCTTGTCAGTGTTTTTTCCCTCTGTTATTAAATACAGTCATCATGTGATTGTAAGATAATTCCAGTTGTTATTGGTCATATTTTTATCTTGTATTCATCATGTAAACTGATTAGGCTCGTATTTCATTAAAGGGGTCATAGGATGCCCATTTTCCACAAGTTGATATTTATTATAAGGCGATTTGCAAAGATCCATTAAAAAACCTTATACTCACTTCTTCTGTAAGTGAAGCTGGATCACGAATGATTTGCGCGAACATAGACGCATTTAGACAGATCGGGGGCGCATTCCTTTCAAAAACAAACGTAATCCTCTGCATCTTCAGCGGCTCAGATGTCGGGAGTAAATGACGACTGCTATGTTCATTATTACA